GGCTCTGCTCTTCCTCTGGTCCTTAATGTGCACAGTCTCCTCCCCTCACATGGCTTTTCCTCAAGTCCTACATTCAAGGAACTCAACCAACTTTTCCTGGGGAGAAACCCAACCTCTCCATTAAGGCCAGGCCAGATGTCAGTCACTCTTCCTTACCATACTCATACCATGCGGGGCTACACAATCTTTGCATACTGTCAAGCTCCATCTGTCCTCAATGTGAGCAGAGAAGCCACCACATATCTGGTGGCTGAAAAATTGAATACATAGAGAGATGGGCAGATAGAGAATTTTATTTCTGGCTCATGGGAAGTTGTTTTAAAATGTTCTCATTCTATATTAATTTACCTCATTTTATGAGTCCACTCTAGCAAACCTAAGTATCAGGATCTTAGTCCTCTAAAAGTCACTTCTACCTAAATTTCAAATCAAATCTAAATCTGTTCCTCAGAATTAGCAAATCCTAAATAGAAAGTAAACCCCAAACCCCACCCCACCCGATGGCAAGTGGATTACAATCTGTAGTGACTCTATAAGACTGAATAGACCTGGTCCAAAAGGGTTCCCAAGGTTATGAATCTTCAAGGAAGCAGAATGTGTTAGTCTGGGTAGACTAGAGAAACAAATTCATAGAGACACATATGTGTATAAGAAAGAGGCTTGGGTGCTCCAACAGGTGAATGCAACATACCGGCATGAAGCAGGGAACCAGTAGAGAGGTCTGAGGGGCTGGCCCCAATCCCAACTACATGGACAGTCGCCTCTCCCCCCAGAAGAATTTACTTCAGAGGACAGCACTGAAGATACAGCTCAGGAAGAGGGACATGTCTGATCAGAGGACATGGGAGCAAATGAAGGGAGAGGAAGAGAGTGGAGAACATCCTGGCCCACCAAGCCTTGAGGATGATATCCCCACTCAGAGCAGCCAATGCACAAAGAGGACCATTTGGCCAGCCCCACTGTGAGACACAACATCCCTCACTAGAGACACACTGTCGGAATTGCCCCCGATCTGACCCCACCACACCGAGGCAAAACACTAAGGCAACAGAACAGCAAAGGAAGCAGATCAAGGAAGTCCTGAATGAATACCAAAAATAGACTTCGGGGCCAGGACATTGCACCCCATCAGACTCGACTGGAAAACACTCCTAAAAGTCCACAAATAGACCTTGAACTATTTACAGGTTTCTCTCTTTTTTGTCATTGGTTTTTTGTTGTTTTGTTTTCTTGTTTTGCTCTGTCTTGTTTTTTATACATATTATTATCTCTGCCGGTCTATCTAGGTAAGATAGGCTGGATAAACAATCTGGAGAAGAAAACAATGGAACCGATGGGGAGGAGGATGTAAGGGAAAGGAAGTGGTGTTAACCAACCCAGTGACAAGGGAACAACAAGTGATCCAAAATCAGTGGCAAAGAGGGTGTAAGAGGCCTGGTAGGGATTGATCAAGGGCAAGGTAACCAAGAGGAATTATTGAAACCCAAATGAAGACTGAGCATGATAGCGGGACAACAGGAAAGTAAAAGGAAATAGAGGAAAGAACTAGGTGGCAAGGGGTATTTATAGAGGTCTAAATACAGGCATGTACATAAGTAAATATATTTATATATGAAGATGGAGAAATAGATCTATGTGCATATATTTATAGGTTTAATATTAAGGTAGCAGATGGACATTGGGCTTCCA